AATTTAATTTTGTTTTCAGGGCGATTTCCTTCTTTTTTTTCTTCGTTGCTTCTTTTGCTTATTGTTTCTTCTTGTATATTATTATATTTTGGTCTTTATATTTTTTTTTAGTGTCAATTGCTTTTTATTTATCCTTTATTTATATTGCTATGTCTGTCATTTATATTTTGTGTAATTTTTTATTAATATTTTATCATAATTTGCGTCCAGCAATGTAGGAAGAGAAGGAAGTAACCTCATCATTTTTCTTATTATCGTCCTTTTCCTCGTCGTTTTCCTTTCCTCTTTTTCTTCGTCGTTTTTGCTCATCTTTTGGTTCATCCTCTTCTTCCCCTCTGTCTTCTACTTTTATTCCCTCTGCTTTTTTTACTGTTGTTTCTTTAGATTGTTGTACTGGTGTTGGTTCTTCTGCTTGCACTGCCTCCTCAGCGGGTCGTAGACATTTATCAATTACGACGCAACAATTCCCGCAGTGATGGTCGATGTTTTGGGTTAGGATCCATAGCCTGACTGACTACGTTATCCAACCCTTTAGGCCAGCTCTTCAGTGCTTTCAGGACTAATGACATCACATACCCATATGAGAAAACATCAGTAGCTGGAGTGGATGGTTTCCAGCAAAGGATCTCTGGAGCACACCAAGGAAAGTCTTCAGGATCACCTTCCATGAAGATAATACGTCCTTTAGGACACGCCAGTCCGTAGTCAATTATGCTAACCTGAGGTTCCTCAGCTGATCCATCGATGATTATGTTATCCTCCTTTAAATCGTTATGGATATAACCAGCTTCGTGGATCTCCTGCAACTTCTTGCCAATCTGGATTCCACATCAAGGAGGTTGTATGCAGAACCCTGTAGATGTCCAGAAGGTTCTGGCTGCCCTTGTAGGACATGAGCATTGCAGAAGGATTGTCTTGAATTCCGTGAAGAACTGGGGCGCCACCGGCTCCTTTCAGGGCTTGAAGAATTTTGGCCTCCTTGAGGAAGCTTGAACAATATTTTTCTAAAGCTTTATCCTTTTTTTGTCGACATTTTGATGTCTTCAGAGCTGCTAGTTCGTCGCGGTAAGTCACAAGATAAACGTTGCCGTAAGATCCCTCGCCAAGGAGCCTCTCCTTGGTACGGATAAGATCCTCCACGACATCAGCATCCAGGAACTCCATTGTTACCATTAAACAACAACTAACCGTAGCTGTGTATATACTAGGAACGAGAATCACAAGTTTTGGATAATGAAAATTAATCTTTTCTCTGCCGAGATCTTGTTCAGCTACTTCCTGAGTTACTTACTGAACTGTCAAGTATAGAACACTGGGAAGATATATAGTGATATGAAGATACATAGCGATGTTAAGACCTGTAGTAATAGTTGTGGCGTAGTGATTGTGGTGTAGTGATTATTGTGGTGTAGTGATTATTGTGGTGAGGTGGTGATTGTAGTGTAGGGATCATTGTAGTGCAGTGATTATTGTGGTGCAGAGATTATTGTGGTGAAGTGATTATTGTGATGTTATGATGGCTGTGGTGTAGTGTATGATGTAGTGATAGTTGGGTAGTGATGATTGTGGTGTAGTGATAGTTGTGGTATAGTGATGATAGTGGTGTAGTGAGGATTGTGATGTAATGATTTTTGTGGTGTAGTAAAGACTGTTCCGAAGTGACGATCGTAATGTAGAGATTATTATGGTGTAGTAGTTGTGGTGTTGTGATGATTGTGGTGTAGTGATAGTTGTGCAGTGATGATTGTGGTGTAGTGATAGTTGTGGTGTAGTGAGGATTGTGGTGTAGCGAGGATTGTGGTGTAACGAGGATTGTAGTGTATTGATTGTGGTGTAGGGACTGTGGTATAGTGATCATTGTAGTGTAGTGATTATTAAGGTGCAATGGCGACTGTAGTGTAGTAATGATTGTAGTGGAGTCATGATTGTGGTGAAATGATGAATGTGGTATAGTGATTGAATAGTGATTATTATGGTACAAAGTTTGTAGTGTAGTGATTATTATAATGTAGTGACGATTGTAGTGGGATAATGATTCTGGTGAAGTGATGATTTTGTAGTGATTGTGGTGTAGTGAGGATTGTGGAGTAGTAATGATGGTGTAGTGATTATTGTGGTGTACTAATGATTATGGTGTAGTGAGGAATGTGGTGTAGTGATGATTGTTGTGTTGGGATGGTTGTGGTGTAGTTATAGTTGTGGTGTAGAGAAAATTGTGGTATGTGAAGATTGTGGTATAGTGAAGATTGGGTATAGTGAAGATTGTGTAGTGAGGATTGTGGTGTAGTGATGTGTAGTGATAGTTGTGGTGTAATGATTGTGGTGTAATGATGATTGTGGTGTAGTGATAGTTGTGGTGTAATGAGGATTGTGGTGTATGTGAGGGAAAAGTAGGTGTAAGTGGGGTTAAGGTTGTTCGGGCAACCAGGAACCATTAGTTACGTCGCGTGCACCCCCCCCCCTCCTCTCTGGCGGGCTGGGGCGAAACTAGTTCCTGGTGTCCGATTTGTTAGTTTCTACTCCTGGTAATATTGACCTTACCTGGTGTGGGTTGAAGTTTGGAGAGTCACTTCACCTCCACTCTTCTCCTAATCAGGTAGGGTGATATACCAGGAGTATCACTGTTTGTTTCTTTATTTTGTTTGCTGGTTACCAGTAATGATTTTGGCATTTATCATTCTTTTCAATTCTTAAATGTTATATTATCATAACTATGGGTAACCAGTTTATTTTCTCTTATTTACCAGCTCTGTTCCTGGCGTGGTCTTCCAGGATAGACGCCAGATAAAGGAGCAAGACATGTTAATAATACTTATTAACATTATTCTACTACTACCGGCCCTTACCTATTCTACTTGTGCTCCATCCAAGTGGTAGGAGATTCCAGAACATCGGATTACCATCTGCCCAGGATAACCTACATAAATAACATCAGAGGAACTATCCAGGGCCATACCTACTCCTACCCAACTACAAGAACTGAAGGCCATTTTTTTTTATTATATTTAAATTTTAAGTAAAATTCTCAAAAATCATTTTTCTTGTTTTTCCTAAATCATTTCTTTATTTATTTATTTTTCCATTAGTTTCTTTTGTTCAGATGGAAGGCGTTCCACTGACAATGGCGACCTTGCCAGGATCCGACTCTTGAAGCAACATCGTCCTGATGGTTCAACTGGTCGTGAGTATAACATTTAAGATAGAAAAGGGTGAGTTAGTTGAGGTGTCAAGTCATTACTGGTAGTCTGGTTGACTTACCGTTGTTTGGTTCTAAGGTTCGGTTTAGAAGTTCACCTATTTGTTGGACCTGGGGAACTTTGATGATAACCCCTCCTGTGTGAACCGTGTGTATTTTGCTTAGTGAAGGCTATTGAGCCCACAAGTGTATTCTTCCAGGGAGAAATATTTATTTCATTTTCTACTTTGGGAAGTTTAAAGTGTGCGGACTGTGTCCCTCTTTTGTAACAGACGTTACTGTTAATTTTAAGTAAGTCAGTTGAAGTTGGGTGCTTAATATTTCTTTTTACAAAATGGATTCTTTAGATTTCTGGTTGAAAGCTGGAAAGGAAATGGGATTTACTGGACAAAGCCTTGATGGTTACATTACTGCTAAAATGGCTATTGAAGAGAAAAAGGAACAGGAAAGACTAGCTCGAGAGGAGAAAAGACTAGCTATTGAAGAGAAAAAAGAACAGGAAAGACTAGCTCGAGAGGAGAAAAAGGAACAGGAAAGACTAGCTCGAGAAGAGAAAAAGGAACAGGAGAGACTAGCTCGGGAAGAAAAAAGACTAGCTCAAGAAAAGAAAGAGGAACAGGAAAGACTAGCTCGGGAAGATAAAATCGAACAGGAAAGGATAGCTAGAGAAGACAGAGTTCAGGCAAGAGAGGTAGCCTTCAAAATGAAGGAAATAGAGTTAGAACAAGCAAGGTTGGAATTAGAAGCCAAGAAGATAGAACTATCTAAGCAGAAAATAGATGAAGGGGTTTTAGAATACCCTTCCCAAGAACCTAATATTAGGATGCCACAAATACCACCTTTCTCGGAACAAGATGACATAGCGGCATATATTACTAGATTCGAGAGTACTGCTACTCTCTGTGACTGGCCTAGTAGATTCTTGGGCTACTAGGCTTGGCTTACTACTGTCGGGTTCAGCATTAAACGTCTATTCCACTCTACCCTCTGATGTTATTTCTAGTTATAGCCTGCTGAAGAAAGCTATACTACAGGCTTTCAAAAAAACTACTCATCATTACAGGTCGGAGTTTAGACACATTAAAATAACTCCTCATCAAAATTACATGCAATTCTTAACAACACTTTTCAGATTATTTGATTCGTGGATTGATAGTGCTGAGGTTGACCACGATTTCGAATCTTTACGAGACCTGATGGTAAGAGATCAATTCCTTTCTTCTGTAAACTCTGACTTACGAATATTCATTAAAGAACGAAACGTTCATACGGCTGCGGAAATGGCACAAGCTGCTGATATATATGCGTGCGCTCATAATAACTACCCTAAGGAGCGTAGCAGATATAAGCCTGTTGTGCCTAAGCAATCTGAGGGATCCAAACCCTCCGTACCTAAGAATTCCACGGCCTTCACAGTAAAGTGTTTCAACTGTAATGAGTGGGGTCATGGAAGCCCGACTGTCCTAGAAAAAAGGTGAAAATGTCGGTAAATGTTTCACTGAATCAAACATAAATGCACCTTTTAGTGAAGGTACAGTCAATGGTATGAATGTGTCAACCATTCTTAGAGACACTGGATGTTCCTGTATTGTTATCTCAAGTAAGCTCTTCCCTAACCTAGATTCTTCACGTTATAAGTCCACTAAGTTAACTGACTATTTAGGAAGAAGCGACTCTTTTTCCAACAGTCAGATGTTTTGTTAGGTGCAAATGGTTCTCAGGATGGGTAGATGCCGTAGTTGCCCCGATAACCTCATGTTCTGTTTTGGTTGGGAACATACAAGGGCTACTTTCCCATCTGAGAAGGACTGTTTGGAATTTGGAGTTTCCAAGGAAGGGTTGGAACCTAATATCTCTGTTTCTTCACAGATAGTTCCAGATGAGATTCAGTTGGATAACCTAAATCAGAGAGCTGATGGTTACAAAACTCCGGTAACACCTTTAGTAAGTCAGTCACTTGAACTGGACAACGCAGACGCCAGTGGAAAACTACGTGTGGCACAATCTATACAACAACTAGACTCGTATTAACGTCGTTACCAGAGCTCAGTCTAAGGTAAAACCTATCCACCCATTAGTTCTTTCCAAAGGAAAGCCAATCGAGCTGTCTCATATAGATTTAGAGGGTCTTCAAAAGACTTGTCCTTCCTTAGAGGAATCTCGGAAGTTAGCTTTAAATGGCAAGGTGACCCAGAGAAAGAAATTTTCTTACAAGTTTTGAGTTCAAACACGATCTTTTGTACAAGACTATAGTTGTCTGCGGACAAACCCAATGACGTTGGTCGAAGCCTGTTAGTCATTCCGCAGGATTGCCGTGAAACCATTTTAAAGATTTTCATGACTTGCCAGTCTCTGGCCATTTTTCACATAGGAAGACCTATAATAAAATCAAGGACCTATATTTCTGGCCTAGCATGTCCTCTGACATCTATAAGTACTGCAGATCATGTCACGTATGTCAACTTTCCACGCAGAAGGGTAGAACTAGGAGAGTTCCTATGGTAAAGATGCCAATTTTCTCAGTCCCTTTTGCAAGGGTTGCAGTAGATATAGTTGGTCCTATCACACCTCGCTCATCAGGAGGTCATAAATATATTTTAACTATGATTGACTACGCGTCCAGCTTCCCAGAGGCGGTACCCTTAAAATCCATTATACGTCCATAGAAGTCGCAGAAGCCTTATTTTCTATTTTTTCACGTGTAGGTATACCTCGTGAAATTCTGTCGGATAAAGGGGCTCAATTCACTTCAGAATTAATGGAACACGTTATCAACTTGTGGGTGTTAAACCTCTTTTCACTACACCTTACCATCCGATGTGTAACGGAAGAGTGGAGCGACAACATGCCATCCTAAAGTCAATACTAAAAAAACTATGTATTCTTAACAAACGGACTGGCATAGATTTTTACCATGTGCTCTTTTCGCAATGCGTGAGATTCCAAGTGATTCCCTTGGTTATTCCCCTTTTGAATTGCTTTATGGGAGACAAGCTCGTGGTCCACTATCTATTTTGAATGAACTTTGGTCCAAAGATATCAAACCTGAGGTTCAAAACAGCTATCAGTTTCTTTTAGATCTAAGGGAAAGGTTGGAAGAAACCGCCGATTTGGTCAGTAAAAACCTAGAGATGTCTATGGAAACGTACAAGACCTATTTTGACCATAAAAGCTCCAAGCGTACGTTTAATGTTGGTGATGAAGTTTTAGTTCTCCTACCTGACAAATCCAACAAATTGCTAATTACCTGGCGCGGACCGTATAAAGTAGTGAAGGTCTGCAATAAGGTAGATTATATCTTGGATGTCAAGGGTAGAGAGAGAATGTATCACGTCAATATTTTGAAACGGTACCATAGAAGAGAAGTTAATCTTTGCGTAAATGCCTTTGACGAAGATACTTCTTCTTTCAGCTTGGATACAAGTGGTGATTCGTACGAATGTAGAGTTTGTATTATAGATGACGAGTTTTTTACAGAATCGAAGGAACTACTGGATATCTTAACGCATGATCCCTCACAAAGAAGTCAAATGTCAACATTAACAACGACTTGTCAAATAAACAAAAGTCTCAAGTAAGTGCCTTGGTAAATTCATTTTCTGACGTATTCACAGAGGTTACCAGGACTTACCACCACTATTGTACACAAGATTGAATTGTCGGATCATGAACCAGTAAGGCGGAAAATCTACCCTGTTCCCGTTCACTTACGGAAAACTTTTGATAATGAGGTGGACAAACTATTTAACTTAAACATCATAGAACCTTCGAAATCAGCTTTCTGTTCACCAGTTGTTATGGTTAAGAAACCCGATAATTCTTACCGACTGGCACAAGATTTTCGTTATTTGAATACTATAACTAAATGGGATGCAGAACCCATGCCAGTAATTGATCATGACTTGTATAAATTCCATGACTGCAAATTCTTCTCGGAATTAGACATCTCACAAGCATTACCATCAAGTGCCATTACACCAGACTCGAAACCATACACTGCTTTCCCTACTCATAGAGGTCTAATGCAATACCGCACAATGCCTTTCGGCTTGGTTACCGCATGTGCCACGTATATTAGGCTTATGAGAATAGTTCTTTCTGATTCTAAAGAATGTATCAGTGATTTTGATAATATTTTATTCATGACAAATGTCTGGGAAGACCATCTAAATACACTAGCGCTTGTTTTGAAAAGACTAAGAACTCACGGCCTTACAGTTAAACCACAAAAGTGCTTTCTTGGCTATCATAAGGTACAATACCTTGGGTTCATTATCTCTGATAACAACTTCTCACCACTTCCTATAAGACCAAAGCTGTTTTAGAAAGTACGTTCCCTGCTACCAAAAAGTTATTAAGAAGTTTCCTTGGATCTGTAAACTTCTATAGAAATTTCGTACCAAATCTAAGTAGCTTAACTTCAGTTCTTACAGACTATTTGAAAAAGGGTGTCAAGGAACCTCTTAGTTGTTCTGAGGAAGCCCTCCAAAGCTTCGAAGAAATTAAGAGGATATTTTCAAACCCCCCTGTCCTAAAATTACCAGATATTAATAAAATATTTTGTCTCCGAACAGATGCCTCCCATTCTGGACTCGGGCTGTACTACTTCAATATTATGAGGAGACACCTTTCCCAGTATCTTTCGCCAGTAAGAAGCTTCTGCCCAGAGAAGAAAGATATTCCACTGTGGAGAAAGAATGTTATGCTTTAGTATGGGGTATAAGCAGATTTAAATACTACCTATACGGTAAACCCTTTGTGCTTGAAACAGATCACAAGCCACTGATGTACTTGGAAAACTTTAAAGGGTCAAATAGCAGACTCTTGAGATGGGCTCTGGCTATTCAGCCCTATAAGTTTAAAGTCGTTTATATTTCTGGCTCTGAAAACCACTTTTCAGATTGGCTGAGCCGAGGTTGTAGTTAGTTCTTTTCCCTCTGTTCGTTGACTTATTGACTCCGTCCATAAGTTTTGGAAGGGGGTATTGTGAGGGAAAAGTAGGTGTAAGTGGGGTTAAGGTTGTTCGGGCAACCAGGAACCATTAGTTACGTCGCGTGCACCCCCCCCCCCTCCTCTCTGGCGGGCTGGGGCGAAACTAGTTCCTGGTGTCCGATTTGTTAGTTTCTACTCCTGGTAATATTGACCTTACTGGTGTGGGTTGAGTTTGGAGAGTCACTTCACCTCCACTCTTCTCCTAATCAGGTAGGGTGATATACCAGGAGTATCACTGTTTGTTTCTTTATTTTGTTTGCTGGTTACCAGTAATGATTTTGGCATTTATCATTCTTTTCAATTCTTAAATGTTATATTATCATAACTATGGGTAACCAGTTTATTTTCTCTTATTTACCAGCTCTGTTCCTGGCGTGGTCTTCCAGGATAGACGCCAGATAAAGGAGCAAGACATGTTAATAATACTTATTAACATTATTCTACTACTACGGCCCTTACCTATTCTACTTGTGTTCCATCCAAGTGGTAGGAGATTCCAGAACATCGGATTACCATCTGCCCAGGATAACCTACATAAATAACATCAGAGGAACTATCCAGGGCCATACCTACTCCTACCCAACTACAAGAACTGAAGGCCATTTTTTTTTATTATATTTAAATTTTAAGTAAAATTCTCAAAAATCATTTTTCTTGTTTTTCCTAAATCATTTCTTTATTTATTTTTCCATTAGTTTCTTTTGTTCAGTTGGAAGGCGTTCCACTGACAGTGTAATGAGGATTGTGGTGTAGTGATTATTGTGGTGTAGTGATTATTGTGTAGTGATTATTGTGGTGTAGCGATAGTAGTGATGTAGTGATTGTGTAGTGATGATAATGGTGTGGTGATTATTGTAGTGTAGTGATGATTGTAGAGTAGTGATTATTGTGATGTTATTATTGTGGTGTAGTGATTGTGGTGTAGTGATTGTAGTGTAATGATTATTGTAGTGTGGTGATGATTGTTTTGTAATGACTGTAGTGTAGTAATGATTTTGAAATAGCGATGATTGTAGTGTAGTGATTATTGTGGTGTAGCGATAATTGTGGTTTAGTGTTGACTGTTGTTATATCTTGGAAATTGGTCATCCTGTGTTATTTAACTATTGTAAGAGAATATGATCATCACTTAATATTATAGCGCGAAAGTCCCCGTTTATAGCTAAAATAGAGACTTTCGGCGTTATATTATTATCTGTTAAAATATATAAAAAATACCATGGTATTATCCCTATTTTATTATTATTATTATTATTATTATTATTATTATTATTGTTAGGTAGGATTATTATGTATATAGAGCATAAGTCTCGGAACCATCCGGTGAATTGTTCAATTGTTTATGTCCGGCTGACTGACGTTTGGGTCAGGTGATCCAAACCCTGACGACGGGGTCAACAGACTGGCAGGTTGTTCAGTCCGCTCCTGTTCTAGCCATTGACA